ACACTGCTGTGTGTGTGTTGCGAATCAACTTTGCCTAGTTTCATTTTCAAATTAAATACATACATACGTAGTTTTATTTGCTGCGCCATCTGATATACATATTTTTTATTTTAATAATTTTCGTTCGCTTTAGTTTCGTATTTGCGTGTATGTACTTTTTTATTTTTACTGCTTAATAAGAAATGTATGATAAAACTGTGAATTAAATTAAAGATTTTTTCGCAAATTAAAAAAAAAAAAACATAAATATTATACATATACAAAATTTTTTAAAAGAAAAAATATGCATAATAAAAATATGAAAGCGAAAAGCAACATTATAATGAAGCATAAACAGCTGTCGAGGTCGAGTTGTAAAATTTACTAACAAAAAAATTAACATAGTAGTAGGGATAAACAAAGAAGAAAGTTAATACATATTGACATTAATTGATGGTAAAGCGCGAGTCTGTACTGAACGAATACAAAAATTAAAAGATGAACATAGACAGGTAAACACAAAAACAAACATACGCAAACAATGAATAAACAAAGAAAATAAGTAATTAATTATACTAACTGGGAAAGCCAATAACAAAGTGTAATACACAGTTGTAACAAATAAAACACAAAAACAAGAATTAAATGGACTTCTTTTTAAATGTTATCGCAAATAATACTGAATAAACAATTGAAATAATATTAAAACCCACAAAAACAGAAGAAAATATTATTATTAAAGTAAAAAAATTATAATATAGAAGTATTAAACTTTAAGTTATTTATAATTAAATAAAATAATAAAAAAAAACAACTTCAATAAATATACAAAAAAATTCAATTTCTCCGTTTTATCATTTGAAAACTGTAATTGATTGTTAACACGCACACATTTTTAGAAATTTCCCAGCTCAAGCGAATGTTCTAGCAGACGAACGTGATAACTTTCGCCAGGTCGAACCCGGGAATCCCCGCATCAGGAATCTCAATTCGGTGATTCGGCAACTGGTAAACCTACAGAAGCAGAATAAGTGGAAGCTGGACCTGAAGACTTGCAATGGTACCTATGGTGTGAGTAAGCTTTGGTCAACCGTAAGGTCACTTTCCAAACCGACGAAGGCTGACTATAGAGTGGAAATCTCTTTCGGTGACCGTTTATCGTCGTATCCAGAGCGATGTGCTCATTCACGCTACATCCTAAGGTGGACAGAGCCAAACGTGGAGTGACCAGAAGGCTGCGCAAACTGCAAACACCAAGAGCTTGCTTTCAACAGCGGCGAGGTCCATATGGCTATCGGCAGGGCGAAAACCTCCAAAGCTATTTGTCCCGTCGGAGCAGACTACCTCACCAAGGTCCTGAACATGTCAATGGCCACTCTCATCATTCCCGATGTGTGGAAGATTGGTCCCACTGCTAAAACCGGCGAAATCCGCCTTACCCCGGTTGCGAATACACTAGAGGCCTCGCTGCTCAGATAATTCGTGGCCTAACTCTAACTGCCCCTGTGAGAGAACAGTCCTAGTAGCTTTGGACCTGTCAAAGGTGTTTGCGACCGTTTGTCATTCCACGCTACTGGAAGACTCAAACGGGGGTGACGAATGAATTGAGTGGTTGACTTTCAACAGTTATTTTTCGAGACAAAACGTTAAAACGGAGGAAAACTAAACAAGGGGGAACAGGGTGATATCCTCCCGTTGCCGTTTAATTTCTATATTTCGATCGATAAAATTGATAAACTCTACTCGAAAGTAAACGGCTACCTCTCGTGAGTTTTTTCACTTCTTCAGCACCTGGGGCAAAGGCCGATTCAGATTCCTGAAGTGGCTTGAACATTTGTACAACGCGGCTCAAATGGTTCCTGTATGGGAGCACAACAACATGGTCATCCGTACAGGCCTTTGCTTGTGGAGGAGCCTCCACGCAGCCGCGTCAGAAAGTTTCTTTTCGAGTAAAATAATGCGGTCCAGTCCGAACAGCCTTATGCGACTCTTTCCGATGAAAGCCCGATCTCCACCTATTGCGGACAACGAGCTCCAGCTGCAACTTGAGACCCGCAATATCTTAGCCCGGTTACGGTCTAGTTACTGCATTGAACTTGCTTCTGCTGCATACTTCAGAACAGATTACATCCGAACTCCACTTCGGTTAGATGCCACACGTGTACATATGGAGTTAACTTAAGACCTGCTTTGGCCTCAAGTCATTCAAGGAATGAATCAGCCGATGTGTGCTCCCTAGCGCTCAAAGAGGCTTTATGTTTCCATTGAGCTCACTTGAGATACAAAACTCCCCCCTAACTCACCTTCCCTAACCATCATCCAACTCGAACTCCTGTGTGAGGACTAACCAGCAGCAGGTGAAACATTTGCCTAGGATGGTGCCAGTTTAGAGCATGCTATGGTCTGGGCACCAATCGTGAGTGGACAAGTGGCTTACTAGTAGCTTTTAAAATTTATTTGCCCTTTAAAGTTTAAACACAAATTTTGTTCCCAAAAATAACATAACTTTAGTTTGAAACATTTTTAGCGGACGTGCGTATTTCATCCTATAAATGACCTTCGAACTACAACTCGTGCTGGCCTTCTAAAACAGACGACAAGGGTTTAAAGTTTTGTATTTTTGGGCGCAGAATACGGAAACTATGGAAAAACCACGTATGACCTGTTTAATAAAATTGGCTTCCGGTGTGTTTAGCCCACTTCCGGTCGAAACAGGAAGTCGGTAATATGACCAAAAGCATCCCAAATAAAAAAACAGTTGCCTCCATTTTAGAAGGGTAGAGATACATACATACATACATACATATATAAAAATGGACCTAAATATGTGCATTTCAGTACCACTTACCATAGCCTTGAAGCATATGCACCGAAAAAAAACCATAAAATACCAATATATTTATTTTTAGATCATTGCAACATTTTAATTTTTATTTATTCGATACAAAATTATCGTTAAATGTGGACCTTTTTGGATTTTTTTTTCGATCATTTTTAACTGTTATAATGATGAGTGCGTATTTATGATCGTATTAATTTCCACTTATTTAAAGAAAAAATGAGTTATGGACGCCACCATCAAATTTCTGCGCAGAATTGCTTCGTGGTGCCGAAAATCAAGTAAATTTTTTTTTATGGATAAGTTTTCGAGATATTTTCAATTTACCGTTATTCAGCTTAAAAAAAGTGATTCCACTTAATCACGCATATCTTACGAACCAATTGAACAATCGTAATACGAAATACGGCAAATGAAAGTTTATGAGAAATTAATAATCATTCCAAATTTTATGTTTTTCTTTTGGTGAAAAAAAATCTAACTTTAACAGGGGGAAATTTTTAAAAATAACAGATTCTGTGCAAAGTTTTTGCACTTATGTTTTGTTCCAAAAAAAAACAAGCTGAAGAAAATCGGCGGATAAATAAAGAGTGGTCAATTCAAAAAGCGCAAACATTTTTTGTACGAAGAATGACAAGGAAAGAATGTTACTCATACGCCATGTACAGCCGACTAACAATATTTTCAGCTCATATTTCATAAGAAAAATCCTTGCGAATTTTCATTTGACCACTCATTCCTTTCTTATTTAGTTTTTTCTTTGGTACCTCCATTTCATACAAAATAAAAAATTTACAAAAAATCGTTATTTTTTATTTTTTCCCTGTTCTTCTTTATTGGCCAAATGAGGCCAATTGGAGATCCCAAGTGAAGCCAAGTTTTTCTCCTTCCCAATTCGGACGGAGCTGATAGTATTGCTCAACGTCATTGTATACAGCCGTATCAGTTTCGCAGGGATACCAAATTCAGACATCGTGGCATATAGACAACTTCTTTTCGTGCTGTCGAAAGCGGCTTTGAAATCGATAAATAGATGGTGTGTGTCGATTCTATTTTCGCGAGTCTTTTCCATGATTTGGCGTATTGTGAATACCTAGTCTATGGTGGATTTTCCAGGACTAAAGTCGCACTGATAAAGCCCAATCAGTCGGTGAAAATACACTCAATAAGACCTTGTAACCTATGCTTAGAAGGCTGATTCCGCGATAGTTGGCGCGTATGGGGGGGGTCGCCTTTCTTGTGGATTGGACAGAGCACACTAAACATTCCGGTCGTCAAGCATGCGTTCATCTGACCATATTCTGCATAAGACTTGATCAGCTCCTCACCGCCGTACTTGAATAGCTCAGCTGGCAGGTTGCCAGTTCCAGCAGCTGTGTTGTTTTTCAGCCGCGTAATCGCTATGCGTACCTCGTCATAGTCAGGCGGTGGGACATCGAGTCTATCGTCATCGACTAAAGATTCGGGTTCGTCTTCTTTACTACTTTCAGTGTTGTTGCCATTCAATAGGACGTTCTGGACATCGGTCTCTAGGTTGCCATTGTTGTCGCCTAACTCTCTGATAAAATTTTCGCGCATTTTCCTGTCGGCCAGCATTTCAAGCTCTTCGCGATACGAAAGAGTAATGCGATGCGATAGGCAAATACATCGTAATTAATACGCTGTGGCGTTTGCATATCGCATCGCATTGTTCTTTCGCATCGGATTACAGAGTAGCTCCACAGGTATTTGCAATTGAAAAAATCAAGATCGCAAAAAAAAAACGGTTACATTTGATAGAAAAAAGTCATAAAATAACGGTTAAATCTGATTGGAAAAGTAGTTCCCAATTTTAATGGTTAAATTATGATTTTTATTAAAAAAGATCATAACTGTTACTGTCCCTGCTTTTTTCTCACCACCACCAGTCTCCAATGCCTACATGCCAAACAGACGTTTATTGTAAATAAAACAAAACTTTATTAGGCAGTTCACAAGGTGCGTATATGTACTGTCGTATTGTTGTATGTCGTGGCCAAACTATATTTAATCCATTCGAAAGCTACCACAAAAGTCGTATTATGAAATTTTACATCGATAAAAAATAGTTGGTTGTGGACTCAAGTCCTCTTAGCTGTCAAAAACTTTTCGGCATACGACACCTTATGAACCACCTATGTACATATATATGTCATATGTTTTACTGTTTTATTGCGTTACGAACACAAATTACGATAAAATAGGTATAATGACGTACAAAAATTTCTATTGAAAACAACACGTATGTGGTTGAGAAATGAATATTGTCAATGGAAAAGACCGCCTTAAATATGGGTCACATTACATTGAATACAAAAACAATCAAAAGGCAACATCAGACATGGACGAACATATAGACATACAAAAGTACGGGTATAGCATTATGGAACGCTTAGTATCGCCAACATAAAATCACACTCACCACCGATTAGTTGAGCAAAATTGACTTGGATCACGCTTGATATTCGATCTCATTCATTTGGATCTAACAATTATTTGCGAAATTTAGTTGTCACTCATAATATCAGCGCCACGCTCTAAACAACGATATAATTCCGGATAGATGACGATATCCGCATTAGTTAGATTGCCGCCGTTATAGAAGTCTTGGTATATCTGTAATTAATGGGAAACGAAGTGTTTAACAGATGGGCGCATTAAAAGTTTTTTTTTTAAGATTTATTCAATAGTCAGAGTCACGACCAAAACATATCGTCGCTACCATCTCAAACTATCGAATGTACGAAAATGCTTTTCAATTACGATAACTGCCTTGCCCGCGGGCAAAGCTCTTTTAAGCTTTCTATACATTTTGTATAGGCGCGTGCTGAGTAAAAGCTCTCTATGCCCATCGCTGATTTAGAGTCTTCCTAGAAGCAGAGGATATTGGCTTTAACAANTTAGTTAGATTGCCGCCGTTATAGAAGTCTTGGTATATCTGTAATTAATGGGAAACGAAGTGATTAACAGATGGGCGCTTTAAAAGTTTTTTTTTTTTAAGATTTATTCAGTAGTCAGAGTCACGACCAAAACATATCGTCGCTGCCATCTCAAACTATCGAATGTACGAAAATGCTTTTCAATTACGATAACTGCCTTGCCCGCGGGCAAAGATCTTTTACGCTTTCTATACATTTTGTATAGGCGCGTGCTGAGTAAAAGCTCTCTATGCCCATCGCTGATTTAGAGTCTTCTTAGAAGCAGAGGATATTGGCTTTAACAATTATTATTTTGCTTTTCCTGGTACTGGATTTGGCTGCTCTTCGCTTAAGCGATGTATCCCAGTGCATCCTGAACTCCAGGAAGACTTTAATACACAATACAGACTATGGTGCTTTACTATCGGTTCCGGGAAGCAATTTTTGCACAAGCAGTGAGGAGTTGAAAGAAGAGAAGGAGTTTTCTCACGAAACCCAAATCTCTTTTAGCTACCAGACTACTGCAGACTATTCCTAGCTGAGGTTTCAGCTGCCATGGAGGCTGTACAGAAGCTGGAACCGAAATTCTAGGAAGAGACGCCTTAGCTTTTAGCCCTGAGCTCTTTCACGCTTTACTCAAGGATTGCGCTGGGCTGTTGCCTATCTCAAGAGGAGATGGCCAAGCAGGTCCTAGTCATATAGACATAGAGGAAAACTGCATGGCAGATGAACTTGTAACCAACGCACAACCAAGCAGATCCTTCCCAGTAAAGAACGCGTTGGCTTAAATGGGCTCGAAAACGGGCACGAAGCGTATACTCTCCGAGAATAGAGAATATATATAATGTTGTGGTTGCTCTAATTGGGCGCTGTCTACTTGGAAAAGACGCCGAAATATTCGGCGTGTGTGCTACGAAGAGAAGCAAACGGTCTTACATATGATATGATGAGATTCATAACTCACGAAATGGTTCAACAGGTGGGCCCCAAGATGCCATGCAGGCGGCAACCACTCCTACCTACCTACTTACCTACCTAATCTAACAGTTAATTCCATACAAAGAGATCATCCCGGACTAGAGGGATTTTTTCGTAACGACTTCTTAGTACACGAAAACATTCGAATTGTTTATTAATCTCATATTTACCATCTGCACAATTTTGTTGTTGCGCAACATTTCGCTGCNTGAGTAAAAGCTCTCTATGCCCATCGCTGATTTAGAGTCTTCCTAGAAGCAGAGGATATTGGCTTTAACAAAGTGTCGAATCCCATTCATTTTCCTAATGACAACAACATTTTTTACAACAGTGTCTTTGCTCTCCTGAAAAGTACCCATTTTCACATTCGATAGCTTGACATGGTAGCGACGATATATTTAAGCTTTCTATATATTTTGTATAGACCCGTGCAGAGTAAAACCCCCTCTACATACCACTGCAGGCTTCTTTAACTCTCTATACTTTAAAAGAGTCATAGCCAAGAAGTGAGGCCTTAATCCGCAGACTTATCGATGGATATTTATGGCAGTCATTGGACAAATTCTCCTGTATTGAGTGATCGTATGGTGGCCTGCATTAGAAAGAGTTTAACCTCAGGCTATTCACCACAGTTTAAAGGTCTAGTATGATTTGCATAAGCTGAGCGCTCAGAACCACGCCAAACGATGCTCTGAATGTTATTTTGCTTTTCCTGGTACTGGATTTGGCTGCTCTTCGCTTAAGCGATGTATCCCAGTGCACCCTGAACTCCAGGAAGACTTTAATACACAATACAGACTGTGGTGCTTTAATATAGGTTCCGGGAAGCAATTTTTGCACAAGCAGTGAGGAGTGGAAAGAACAGAAGGAGTTTTCTCACGAAACCCAAATCTCTTTTAGCTACCAGACTACTGCAGCCTATTCCTGGCTGAGGTTTCAGCTGCCTTGGATGCTGTACAGAAGCTGGAACCGAAATTCTAGGAAGAGACGCCTTAGCTTTTAGCCGTGAGCTCTTTCACGCTTTACTCAAGGATTGCGCTGGGCTACTGCCTATCTCAAGAGGAGATGGCCAAGCAGGTCTTAGTCATATAGACATAGAGGAAAACTGCATGGCAGATGAACTTGCAACCAACGCACAACCAAGCAGATTCTTCGTAGTAAAGAACGCGGACGCAGAAATACTTGGCGTGTGTGCTACGAAGAGAAGCAAACGGTCTTACATATGATCTGATGAGATTCATAACTCACTAAATGGTTCAACAGGTGGGCCTTCTGTCTATGCCCCAAGATGCCATGCAGGCGGCAACCACTCCTACCTACCTACTTACCTATGTACCTAATCTAACAGTTAATTCCATACAAAGAGATCATCCCCGACTAAAGGAGTTTTTCGTTAGGACTTCTTAGTACACTAAAACATTCGAATTGTTTATTATTCTCATATTTACCATCTGCACAATTTTGTTGTTGCGCAACATTTCGCTGCGCATCTGCATCCATGTGCGACGCAAACGTTCTTCCGCTTCCGATATAAAGCCTGGTGTCCAATTCTCTTGCGCGCGATAGCGTGTCAATCGATGACGTTCGGTCAGTGCACGTTTACGACGGCGTTCTTGAAGCTTCATGTGACGTCGCTGGCCTGAGAGCACTTCCAATTGATGCTGTCGTCTTTTTTCGATTTCCAGACGCAATTTCTTTGCAACCTCTTCACGCTTCTTACTTGCAGCTGTTTCGCTGTAAATTGACGCTTGATTCTGCAGCGCATAAAATTGACAGTAATAGTTTAGCCGTTCGGGATCTTGTGGTGGCATAATACGACGAAAATCTCCCAAATGGCTCTCTTCCCAAGCAATTTGTTGTGAAAGCGCGCTCAGTCCGGCATCCTGTGATGCATCTTCTTGCGGTGATGACTCATTGTCTGCAGACGCTGATGCGTTGTTGAAATCGATAGGCGTTGTTTGACGCGGATTCGAGTTCAATATTCTGCTAAGGATACAAACATGTATCAATAAGTTTCGCAGCGAAGCGAACAAAGAGACTTACGTATCACATTGCTTCAATTTGAGCAATCGCTGTTTGATACGCTTACGATCCTCGCGTAGTATCTGCTTCTTGTCGGCCAAGGGCGTGCTAACCATCAATAGCGTGTCTCGTATCAACGCCTTCTTCACTTGCCGATCGACGAGCTCGTGTGTGTGATAGCTCGGCGAGTGATTCACTTCGAGGACGTATGGTTTCAGTTTTGAATCGACTAAAATATCAAAGCCGAGTATCTCGAAGCACGCTTGTATTTTGTCATGCGTCGGAAAACAGGCATGGTAGTTGTGCTTGAGCATTGGCCATGCGCTGAGCACCGTTTTGATTATAATGTCATCGATATTAGCCCAAAATCCGTCAACATCGTGATTGTGCCGACGCAACCAATTGTTGATGGCACTGAACTTGCGTTTGCTGCCGCAGTCATCGTTGTCGCACAAATCATATTGGGAGCTGCGCTTATTCACCGAATAGTTGGTGAGATGCATGAATAGATCGCAGCTATTCTCCGTCGTCGGCTCAACATATTTGTTGGTGGCAAAGCGTGCCAAGCCTTCGTTGTAAACAAAGATACGCAATGGATCTACTGAGGTGATAAGCGTATAGACGCGTAGATCGAACTTGTAGCCATCAATCAAAAGCGGCTGCGCGGAAGTAAGGTAAAGTGAAAGAAATGAGATTTTAAAAGTCTGCATACCTTATTAATGTAAGTCTGACAAATCATTCGCTCCGAGGGATTTATGGATTTCAAATCGTTCGTCAGCCAAATTCCGCGACCCATCGCACCCGAATCTGGTTTGATAATAAATGTTGCCGGTTTGCTTTTAAAATTATTATTATTGGCATAATTTATAGCATCGCCATAGCTGCAGAGGAAGAAGTGCGTCGAAAACATTTCTTATGTGCGTAGGCGTAATTTATACTCACAACGTTGGTGTACTTACTCAGCTGGAAATATCCATGTTTTCGGAAATATTTTATAATCGCGTGGAAATAATTTCAGCATGCGATTCAAATTGCGCGAGAGCAAGTCTTTGCGACAAATCTCCATCATATCTGGATAGTGGTTGATTTGTTGGAAACGCTTCATGCTCTTGTACAATTCTACTCCGGGCAATGAGTCTGTCCACAAAATATTCCAAAGTTTGCCTTCTTTAACTAATTTAAAACCCAATGCTTTGGATACGCGACCAATTATGCTGAAGCGCGAATTAGATACGCAGATGCTACCTTTGATTTTACTGAAATTAAAAGAAAATAAGTAGCAGTAGAATTATCGAAAACGGTTCACGTGGTGGCCCAAAGTCATCCGGTAACATATGTACATAAAAAAATATTTTGATGAATGGATAACCTTCCTACTTTTTTTGAAGTCAAAACTAAGGCAAACTCTTACACGGAGGACCTGGAAATTCAACAAAGAGTGCTAATTGCCCCAATGTCTGATTGTGCGCTTAGTTGGGAGCCCGCTACATTAAACAAACTTTAAATTAAAAGGAAAATGCAGTCCCGGAGAAGACCGAAAAGGAGTGCGAATTAAGATTTCGATTTGTGGTGGAAGAGAGACTTCGTCCCTGAATATTGTAGTTCACACCAGTGGACGAGCGTCTCACCATCAAGACGTCAAGCGAGACGTGCATGTAGCAGTAGGTTCCAGCGTCAGGGGAAGCAGCAAGTAAGATTGCTGGCAACTTATCGAAAAACTAGAAATAAAATTGAGCATGTTATGGTAGACGAAAGAGACTTTTCCAGTGTTTTAGTCATACATATATACACACATACGCACGATCCGAGGACCAAATATTAACTCGGGTCTATCTTGTTGCATCTAAACAACTCGTAAGCCCTGTGATGAAAGAAGTGAGCGATTAGCAACACAGACTTGTTTAGTCAAGCAGGCATCTGGTCCCTATTTAACAGAATGACTTGTTTAAAGCAGCACTGACAGCTTAAAACATGGGCAGATTAGAAAATACGGTAACACTGTTCGGTTCTAGGCCACTGTGGGATCCAAGGCAATGAGGTCGCCGACGAGTTGCCACCGAAGGGTCTTTAACTGCCTAATTTAGGACCGGAACCATTGTGTGGTTGGTCCTCTTCGATAGCCATAATTACTGAGTGGGTTCAACCTGCAAGCACTGGGGGAGGCATAGACAAGCTCGGCCTTTCCTTTTACCTTTTCAAAAGAAAGTATATTGTTCTATCGAATACTAATGCTCTCTGGGTAACAAACTGATCACAACCGACTACGATTTCACATGCACTTAGTAGCTGTAATCGCAGAGTCATAATGCTAGTTCTCTCTTGAAGATGAAGAGACTACAGGATACTTTCTCTCTGACTGTCTGGCCTTAGCCATACAAAGACTAACTATTTAAAGGTCCAAAATAATACGTCTAACAAAGCCTTGTTAAAATCTATTAGGAAGTCGAGGGTATATTGGACAAACTGGGTTAGGATCAAAAGATCTTTTAGGTCGTAGTGTCTCATTTTCTACTACACTCAAACACTTAAACTAAAGTAACTAACACAAGGGAGGTTGAACGTCGAAAAGCTGTCAGCTTCGTCGCCACTGGATATTTGCGAGCAGGGGTTAATACCGTAAGGTTTGTAAGTCGTTATAAGGGGAACTGACAATGGAAGTGGGGTTTATTTTCCATATCAAAAAATGAGAGCGAGGAGCTTGAGATGTTAGTCGACAAAACAAAACTCCAGAAGGTTTCAGGACTAAGGCTAATACCTAGTAAGAACAAACACAGCGACTTAGTGGCCTATGTCCAGAGCTGGACCCTACTGAATAGCATTCAGACCAGTGGAGAAGATAAACCTGAACCCCATATAGGACCATGGAGTCGATGTACCAACGCCCCATTGTGACCAGTTACGATTGAAATTTCTCGGCTCAAAATCATTAAAGCCGCTGAAGCTAACGGCCTGCCAGCTGACCTAATCAAGTCCGGCGATCGGAGAAATACATACCTGCCATGTGCTCTGGCCAAAACAAAAGAAGTTTATTCGGCAACACGTATACTAGGCAATGTTCGAATGAGGATCCCCGTAAAACTAATATAGCAACATCACAAGTTCCGCAAGAACTGGGAAGAACTAAATCGCTGAGGAACGATTCTAGAATATTCGAGAAAAATTAGCGTTCCAGCTCTGAAGGTTCCCGCTGGTGATAGAAGAGGTAGACGGAGGCGAGAATAAAAAGTTACGACTTAACAATGAGGCGCAAAACTTGAATTTGGTTCCCTCATGTTATCACAGTTCTGACATTGCCACCAACGGTCATCTCCAATCATCGGCGTTGCCAGAATGAAATTTAGGGGGGGAGAGGGGGTTTAACCCTATTAAGCAGGCATTTCAGGGTACTATTTTACATATATATAAGGAAAATTTGAAAGTTAGGGGGGCTCGAGCACCCCCCTGCCCCTACCTGGCTACGCCCATGTCTCCAATGATAACCTCTTGCTAAAGTTGCCGATAGCTTTCGTACCTAAGAACCGTAAGCAAGACCAGTAGGTGATATGTCGAAGTGAAACTAGAATGACTTAGATAAAGGGCCGTAATCCTTTCGAGAACTTTCTCTTTAAAGCTACACATTTTTTTTTTTTTTATTGAATCAAAGTTAAAGGGAAAAAATGCCAACTTACGGTATAATTGGCATATCGTCTCGTGCTGCCAGTGATGATTTCGGCGTATTGCCGCATTTCAAGCGGAAGCACACATTATTCAATTGTATAAGGCCATCGGAAATGGCTTCGCTTTCCGCAGTAAGTTCATGTGTATTATGATATTCCTTCCGTTCCTCTTTCTCCTCCGCGTCGTTGTTACTCTTACGCACACAATGACCATTACGCTCCTTCAATGCATTCTCCAAGACGACATCGATACGCGTGCCACGATTTTTTTCCATTCGCAATTTCTCTTTGGAGAGACGACGCAACTCCTGTATGCGCTTAAAGAATTTGGAATTTTTCAAATTCATTATGTCAGATCGTTACAGCTAGAATTTCTATGTGGATGGGTGGTCGAGTTCTGATGAAATTATTGGCTTTTAACGCGACTTTCGATGGTTGGCGAAGGCAGCTCGGCCAGCCGCAGCGGTTGAAGGCGAAATGCGTTTTCCGTTTTTTTTTTGTGAAAATTTTAAATACACAGCTAGTCAAAAATTGCTGCGCGAAGTTTTGTATTACAAAATACTATTTAAAAATGTTACTAGTATAGATTTCCGGCAAATATTAAAGCATTTCTTGGTTACAAATTTTAAATTTGTTTTTTGTTGAAAATTTTGACGAACAAGAGAAAATATTTTTGCGCTATGCCTTTGCTAATGAAATAAACTGAATATTTTTTTTATCTTTTGATGGAATATTTTCGTTAAAAATTCTACAGTATTGAACTTATCGATTACACACAAAAAAAAACCTTTATTACAACGGATTCCATGAATTGATTAAATGGAAAAGTGGAAAAATGTATTAAATTTTTGTTTAGACAAAATAACAAAATTTCAGTAAGTTCTCTTTTTGTGATGAAAAAATTAAGCGTTTGCGTTCAAGCACAATTTGTAGCACTATCCAGTGGNCCTTTATTACAACGGATTCCATGAATTGATTAAATGGAAAAGTGGAAAAATGTACTAAATTTTTGATTAGACAAAATAACAAAATTTCAGTAAGTTCTCTTTTTGTGATGAAAAAAATTAAGCGTTTGCGTTCAAGCACAATTTGTAGCACTATCCAGTGGGGAAAATGGGAATGCATTACCTTCCCAGGAGGCAAATGGGAAATTATAAAATTTATTATACATTAAAACTTCCGCTACAATACTTCGGAAAACTATTAAAATTATTTGANGGGAAAATGGGAATGCATTACCTTCCCAGGAGGCAAATGGGAAATTATAAAATTTATTATACATTAAAACTTCCGCTACAATACTTCGGAAAACTATTAAAATTATTTGAGCTGGAATCATTTGAAAATATTTCCACAAATCGAGTTTTGTTGAGTTTTGTTTTATTTAAACAATCTAAGC